AAAATAACCCTACAGAAATAATCCTACAGAAAATAACCCTACAGAAAATAACCCTACAGAAATAATCCTACAGAAAATAACCCTACAGAAAATAATCCTACAGAAAATAACCCTACAGAAATAATCCTACAGAAAATAACCCTACAGAAATAACCCTACAGAAAATAATCCTACAGAAAATAATCCTACAGAAAATTATCCTACAGAAAATTATCCTACAGAAACAACCCTACAGAAATAACCCTAGAGAAAATAATCCTAGAGAAAATAATCCTACAGAAATAATCCTACAGAAATAATCCTACAGAAATAATCCTACAGAAATAACCCTACAGAAATAACCCTATAGAAAATAACCCTACAGAAATAACCCTACAGAAAATAATCCTACAGAAATAATCCTACAGAAATAATCCTACAGAAATAATCCTACAGAAATAACCCTACAGAAATAATCCTACAGAAATAACCCTACAGAAAATAATCCTACAGAAAATAATCCTACAGAAATAATCCTACAGAAAATAATCCTACAGAAATAATCCTACAGAAATAATCCTACAGAAATAATCCTACAGAAAAGAATCCTACAGAAATAATCCTACAGAAATAATCCTACAGAAAGTGGTTCTCTGCTCCTCCAGGCAGCTCACCTGCCAGCCTACGGGTGTGGCGCCCGCCGTCCTCGACTGTCCCCTTCCCTTTCTATTTCTCTTTTCCTCTTTCCCCTCTGCAAGACCGATACAAAAATACCAGCAATTTCCCCTTTCCCCCCTCCCTCCCCACCCGGCCCCAGCTTTATATAAAAAAAACACCGAGACTCTGGGAAAAACAGAGCAGAGCAAAACTGCACGGGGTGGGGGCCCTGCCCATCACACTTCCGTCCCGTCCTGCAGATCCTCGTGGGCTCTGGCCTCCGGGCTCAGCCTCCTCACTCTGGCGCCGAGGCCGGCGTCCCACGCGGGGCAGCCCCTGTCCCTGTCCCTCTCCACGCGGCCCGGGCTGCACCTGCCCGCGGCCGCCACCTTGCAGCTGCGCAGAGCCTGGGCCTGCAGAGCATCCTCCTCCTCCTCCTCCTCCTCGGGGGGCTGTTTCTTCCTCCTCCTCCTCCTCCTCCTCTCCTGGCACTGCCTGGTGGCCACACAAGCCACCAGGGCCACCAGGAGCAGGAGCATGGCCGCGGCCAGGGCCCCGCCGAGGGACGCGCCCGCCTGGGCCAGGGAGGTGGCGGCCGCCGCCGGCTCGGGCCCCTCCAGGCTCAGGGACTTCATGTTGGTGCCGTTCCTGACTCGGTCGCCCTCGTTGTCATACACCAGCGGGTCGTCCAGGTCCCTCCGGGGCCGCCGCCGCCCCAGGGGGACCCCGAGAGAGCGCTGGACACGGGGCCCCGGGACGCTGTCCGGCCCGATGACATAGATCACTTGCAGGTACCACTCGTGCCCGGCCTCCACCTGCGGGAGGAGGGAGACGGGACAGAGACGGACACTCGTCACCGGGGCCCGGACATCTCCGGAGAGGAAGGGACACGGGGACACGGCCGCTGCCCGGGATTCGCGGGGACGGATACATCGGTGGCAAGAAAAGCATCAGGGACGCTTCGTGTTGGCCGGGCGCGGCGGTGGCTCACGCCTGTCGTCCCGGCACTCTGGGAGGCCGAGGCGGGAGGATCGCTCGAGGTCAGGATTGGAGACCGCTGAGCAAGAGCGAGACCGCCTGTCTACTAAAAAATAGAAACAAAATTAACTGGCAACTAATATATATATAGAAAAAAAAATTAGGGCATGGTGGTGGCGCATGCCTGTAGTCCCAGCTGCTCTGTGGAGGCTGAGGCAGGAGGATCGCTTAGCCTAGGAGGTCAGAGGTTGCTGTGAGCGAGGCTGATGCCCACGACACTCACTTAGCCCGGCGACAGAGTGAGGACTCTGTCTCAAAAAAAAAAAGAAAGAAAAGAAAAGAAAAGAAAAGAAAAGAAAAGAAAAGAAAAGAAAAGAAAAGCAAAGAAAAAGAAATTACTGATGTTTGATGCTGGCCGGGCGCGGTGGCTCACGCCTGTCATCCCAGCACTCTGGGAGCCGAGGCAGGAGGATCGCTGAGCTCAGGAGGTCGTAGACCAGCTCTGAGCAAGACCCCGTCTCTACTACAAATAGAAAGCTACTAAAATGAGCTGGACAGCTAAAAATATATACAGAAAAAAATTAGCCGGGCGTGGCGGCGCATGCCTGTAGTCCCAGCTACTCGGCGGAGGCTGAGGCAGGGAGATGGCTTACCCAGGAGTCTGAGGTTGCTGTGAGCGAGGCTGACGCCCCGGCACTCTAGACTGGACAGTAGAGTGAGACTCTGCCTCAAACAACAACAACAAAACAACGAAACAGCCCCAGTCCAGAGAGGATGGGAAGGGCGGTACACTCCTGTTTCTCGCAGGCTTTGCGACGGACGTGGCCTCAGCTTCTGTCCTCCCGAGCAGACTCACCTTGTAGAGCGCGTCCACCTTCAGCGTGAACCCGTCCACGCCCGGCATGCTGCTGACCGCCTGGAAGTCGGGCAGCTCAGAGGCAAAGTGAGCCTCGAAAGGCACGTCATGGAAGTACTTATCCGTCACCTCTGGCTGGCTGCGGTCCTGGAATTCCAGGGAAAAAAAATGCAAGATTTAGGCCGGGCGCGGTGGTGGCTCACGCCCGTCACCCACACTCTGGTGGGCCGAGCGGAGGACGCTCGAGTCAGGGTTGGAGACTGCCGTCTCTACTAAAAAATAGAAAGAAATTAATTGGCCAGACTATATATATAGAAAAAAAAATGAGCCGGGCATGGTGGTGCATGCCTGTATCCCAGCTACTCGGGAGCTGAGGCAGGAGGATCGCTTGAGCCAGGAGTCTGAGGTTGCTGTGAGTGAGGCTGACGCCACGGCACTCACTCTAGCCTGAGCAACAAGTGAGACTCTGTCTCAAAAAAAAAAAAAATTATGAAACACACACACACACAAACAAAAAAAGAAAAAGAGAACACTATTCCTCTTCCGGGTGTCAATAAAAAGCTTGTCAGGCGCACACCCTAACCCGGAACCTCGGTCGTGGGTCCTAGTGTTTAGCCAAGCAGAGGGAAAAACGGCCATAACGGAAACACACACACACTTCATTCTTTCGATGTAGCCAAATAAAATGAAAAAAAAAGGAAAAGAGACAGAGAGAGAGACAGAGACAGAGAGAGACAAAGAGAGACAGAGACAGAGAGAGAGACAGAGAGACAGAGAGAGACAGAGACAGAGAGACAGAGAGACAGAGAGAGACAGAGAGAGACAGAGACAGAGAGAGACAGAGAGAGACAGAGACAGAGAGAGACAGAGAGAGACAGAGACAGAGAGACAGAGACAGAGAATGAAGGAGAGAAAGAGAGAGACAGAGAGACAGAGAGAGATAGAGAGAGAGACAGAGAGAGACAGAGAGACACAGAGACAGAGACATAGAATGAAGGAGAGAAAGCGAGAAAGAGAGACAGAGAGCTATAGAAAGAGAGAGCAGGGAGCGGGTGCCGCGGCGAGCCGGGGTGCGGCGGAGTGCGGCGGGAGCGGAGCGGGTCGGCGGTGCGGGGTCCGGGTGTGGGGACCGGATGGGGGAGCGGGAGCCGGTGCGGGCGGGTCGGGTGCGGGCGGGACGGGTCGGGGTGCGGGCGGAGCGGGTGCGGTGCGGGCCGGCGAGCGGGTGCGGCGGGACGGGTGCGGGGTCGGGCAGGACGGGTGGCGGGTCGCGCGGGAGCGGGATCGGGGTGCGGGCGGGAGCGGGGGTGCGGGGTGCCGGGCAGGACGGGCGGTGCGGCGGGAGCGGGTGCGGCCGGCGGCGGGGTCGGCGTCGGCGCGCGCGTCGCGCGCGGAGCGGCGGCGGTGCGGGCGGCCCGCTGGGCGCGGTGTGGGGCCGGGTGTGGGGACCGGTTGCGGGGATGGGGGACGCGGGCAGCGGGTGCGGGCGCGGTGCGGCCGGGCAGTGCGGGAGCGGGTTGGGCGGTCGCGGGGCGGGCGGATCGGGTGCGGGCGGTCCGGGGTGCGCGCGGTGCGGGGATCGCGGGTGTGGGCGGCGTGAGGGCGGAGCGGCCCCGCCACCAGCCGAGCCTGGTAAACCGGGGTGCGGGCGGATCGGTGCGGCCGGCGTGCGGGGATCGGGTGCGGGCGGGTGCGGCGGGAGCGGAGCGGGTGCGGGCGGGTGCGGGCGTGTGTGGGGCCGGGTGTGGGGACGGGTTGCGGGAATGGGGAGCGGGAGCGGGGTGCGGGCGGGTGCGGGGTGCGGGCGATGCGGAGCGGGGTGTGCGGGTGCCGGTGCGGGCGGATCGGGGTGCGGGCGGGATCGGGGTGCGGGCGGGTGCGGGACGGGTGTGGGGTGCGGGGTGCGGGCCGGGATCGGGGTGCGGGCGGGATCCGGTGCGATCAGGGTGCGGCGGCGAGCGGGCGGGCGGATCGGGGTGCGGGCGGAAAGCGGGGCCGGTGCGGGCGTGGGTGCGGGCGGGAGCGGGCCTACCAGCAGGAGGAAGCGGTGCTGCAGGTGCCGCGCGGGCTGGATGCAGCCGTACTGCGGGCCCTCGTTGTAGACGGTGCCGGTGGGGTCGAAGAAGGGCACGTGGCCGTCGCGGCCGGTGCACAGGTACACCTGCTCCAGCCGCAGCCGGTACGCCGCGTGCAGGTTCTGCTCGGGGCTCCACAGCACGCGGCCGTACAGCGTCTGCCCTGGGGGGGAGCCTCGGTCAGCCGGACTGCGGCCTCGAACCTGCTGCTTGTGTTGTTTTGAGACCGATCTCACTCTGTCGCCCGGAGCTAGAGTGAGTGCCGTGGCGTCAGCCTCGCTCACAGCAACCTCAGACTCCTGGCTCAAGCCGATCCTTCTTGCCTCAGCCTCCTCCCGAGTAGATGGGACTACAGGCAATCGCCACCATGCCCGGCTAATTTTTTGGTATATATATTTTATTTCCAGCTAATTCTTTCTATTTTTTTTTTTTTTTTTAGCAGAGATGGGGGGTCTCGCTCTTCCCAGGCTGGTCTCGAACTCCGACTCCAAGCAAGTCTCCACGCTCGGCCTCCCAGGTGCTAAGAGGCCAGGCTGAGCCACCCGCTGCCCGACCTGATTGGAATTTTGAGAAAACTCCAGGAAGAGGGGACACCGGGTCTGGTTCCTTATCAACCGGCCTGGCTGCCCCAGGCCCCGCTTTCCCCGGGAGCCGACCGAGCTCTGGAGCACGGAGGCCACCCAGGGCCTCGCCCAGAGCCTCTCCCGTCGGGACGGAGCCTCCGTCCCCAGGGGGGAGGAGGCGGCTCACCTTTGGAGAAGGCCCCCTTGTAATCCATCTCCGCCAGGGACATGCCGGAGGTGCTGGGGTCCATGACAAACACCTTCTCGTTGTTGCAGAGCTGGAACTCGGTGTTGAGCGAGTACACCACCGGCACCGGGCGGTTGGTCTGCTGGAACGCGATGGGAATCAGGAATCTGCACCCGGGAGGAAGGAGAGCAGGGTCAGTTCTGCGTGTGCCGGTCGCTGCGGCTGCCCCTTCCTCCCCACCCGCCTCGGGACTGTGGCCAGAGCTTTGTCCGGGGTGCGATAGTTAGTGAATGAAGAGATGTCGTGTGTGTTTGTTGGCCGGGCGCAGTGGCTCTCGCCTGTCATCCCAGCACTCTGGGAGGCCGAGGCGGGAGGATCGCCCGAGGTCAGGAGTTCGAGACCAGCCTGAGCAAGAGCAAGACCCCGTCTCTATTAAAAATAGAAAGAAATTAGCTTGCCAACTAAAAATATATATAGGAAAAAAATTAGCCGGGCATGGTGGCGCATGCCTGTAGTCCCAGCTACTCAAGAGGAGGCTGAGGTGGGAGGATCACTTGAGCCCAGGAGTTCAAGACCAGCCTGAGCAAGAGCAAGACCCTGTCTCTACTAAAAACATAGGAAGAAATTAACTGGACAACTAAAATTAGATAGAAAAATTTAGCCGGGCATGGTGGCGCATGCCTGTAGTCCCAGCTACTCGGGGGGGAGGCTGAGGCAGGAGGATCGCTTGAGCCCAGGAGTTTGAGGTTGCTGTGAGCGAGGCTGACGCCACGGCACTCACTCTAGCCCGGGCAACAGAGCGAGACTCTGTCTCAAAAAATAATAATAATAACTTAAAAAAAAAGCGATCCACATAACCAAAAACATCCGTACCCCCGTGACATTTAGAAATGACAGAAGAGAAAAGGGAGTCCGAGCACAAACGAGGACCCACCTCTCGGCGGTGTGCGCGGTGCAGGGCAGCGGCTTCTCTCCGGGGTCGGCCCAGGGCTGCGTGGGCTGCACCGTGCAGGGGACCAGGTAGATGCTGTACTCGCCCGAGTAGTCCTTCCTGTGGACACGCAGAGCAGAGGCGGTCAAAGGCCCGGCCGGCGGCTCATTCGCTTTCCCAGAGGGACACCGAGTCACTCAGACCGGATCCAGCCGGGACTCACGTACCGACACGCCCCAGAGCTCTGCCAGCCCGCAGACCCCACCGTCCGGAACTCACGTCCCGACTATTCCGACTCCCGGAGCATCACCCAGATGTCAAACAAAGCTACTCTCCGCCGGGCGCGGTGGCTCATGCCTGTCATTCCCAGCACTCTGGGAGGCCGAGGCGGGAGGATCGCTCCAGGTCAGGAGTTCTGAGACCAGCCTGAGCAAGAGCGAGACCCCCGTCTCTACTAAAAACATAGGAAGAAATTAGCTGGACAACTAAAAATATATGGAAAAAATTAGCCGGGCGTGGTGGCGCATGCCTGTAGTCCCAGCTACTCGGGAGGAGGCTGAGGCAGGAGGATCGCTTGAGCCCAGGAGTGTGAGGTTGCTGACGCCACGGCACTCTAACCCAGGCGACAGAGTGAGACTCTGTCTCGAAGAAAAACAAAGATGAAAAAAAAAAGCAACTGGTCTGAGCTAGATTTGTCTCTTTCTCTACTTGCTAGAGAGGTGCCTCTATTTACCCTTCAGAACAGAAATCCGGCCATCAGAGAGAAAAGCCCTGTTTTCCCCAAACGCCCGAAAGAAAGGGAGAAACTCTCTCAGGTCAACGCCGGGAGCCTCCGTGCCCGCGTTCACCTGTTGTAAGAGCTCGTGGCTCTCCAGAGCTGATTCGGGGAGTCGAAGGTCTGAGCACTCCAGAGAAGCTGCAGGTCGAACTGGATGCCCCCCCAGGTGGGTCCGGGGTCAGGATGAGGGACTCGCGTCGGGTGAGGGTGTGGTGGCCCATGAAAACTGCCCTGTGTCCCGGAAAAAACAGGCGCCCTCACTAGTGAGCTCTCTTTCCTTGGACGGGGACGCCCTTACAAAACGGCCTACAGTGTTCCCCGAAAACAGCATCCAGGGTCTTCCTATCTCTATCTTTCTCAGAAGACACTCCAGGGCTCACTTTTCAGGGGGATGGTGTTGTTTTTTCTTTAAAGTACGGGTACAAACCATCTGCATGATCAAATATTAGTGAAGTCGTCGTTCTTCTGGAACATCATCCTCGCAACTCTCCAGACCCCGGATCCCATCCCCAAGAATGTCTTGCGGGACTCTGTTTCCTTTAAGAGCACCGGCCCCGAT